AATGTGTTCTCCGGCAGGAATCGAACCTGTATTCTACACCGAACCGCCATATGGACAACATTGCTATACAATTTTAGCAAGAGTGGAAGAGTCTGGTTAACAAGTTTAAATTACTGTTTTTGAACTACAAACTTCCCATGATTTCTCTCGAACGCTCATATCTACTCGACGCGTAATTTAACGTAAACAAATGACATAATATATTATGAAGTGGACCCCGTCCGACAATTATTTTAATACATTTTTAATAACCAGACGCTTCATTTGTTGTTTCGTAGATCGATTCTCCATTTATCAAGAGATATCAGTAATTGACTCTTTATTTTCTCGTTTCTCGACATCATATATATATATATATATATATATATATATATATATATATATATATATGTAACGTAATGGATTATTTTAATTTGATATTTATTATTTCTACAACTCTTATATTTAGTGGGTACACGTATTTGAGGTGACATGTCTGTTTTGAAACTAAAAGTAATGTGCAGTGTAACCCGGATATAAGAGAGTTGTCGGGACCGGAGAAGAAGTCTCTTATATCCGGGTTTCTCTTATATCCGGGTTTGGTCCATTTTGTTTAGGTAAGTATGGGAACACTTTGAGACCAGAGAAAATCTCTCTTTTACCCGGGTTTCTCTTATATCCGGGCCTCTTATATCCGGGTTACACTGTATATTTAGGTGGAATCTAGAATAAGCCGGTGACATTCTCTTCAGACGAGTACATGATATGAGAAACTTAGCTGCGTTCTTAAAGGGATACATCCGGCATTCACCAATCGAGCTGACACAGCTACTTTCGGTTGAAATCTTTATTTTAAAACCAATATTCAGGAAAATGCATTTCTTAACTCCAGTAACTTTTATTGGTCTTTCCCGTATTCATGACGGTTTCCTTCCTACCCTTTTGTTTGGAATAGTGCGGAATGTCAACATATTGATTATGTCATTATTCTTTCTTCCAGTTGCAAGTGATCTTCATTTTAGTTGTTGCTGCTTTCGGATGAAGCCATCTGCATGCGAATGCTTTAAGAATCAGACCAATATGCAAATATAGACTCAAATAAGATTTTTAAAAACAAACTTATTTCGGCATTAATTTAAGAATTGATATCATGTAAAATTCAGCAAGCCAATCTCTTCAGATCAATTTTCATTTGATCATAAAAGTATGGATTCCGTTGTTGATTCAATTAATTATTTCAGAAAGTTTTTTTTTCTCGATATAATTAATTAGTTGCAGTAATGAACCAGACAACAATCGTTGCATGAAGTGAAACGAATGAGAATTTATCAGTAATAGGTTTCGAAAATAGGTTGTATCTTGCAAAATGTTCTATACCAGTTCTATGATCGTTTACTGCAATGTTTATTTCCTTGTTATACATCACCCATCTACCCGGAATAATGCTATCACATTTCCTTCGTGTTATTTAAACGAACCGATTGTTCTGTGAACTATTGTGCAGTAACATTTTCTTTTAACCATTTCACCCCAAGCCAGGCAATAAAGCCACTAAGACGTAAGGGGTTACCGGGAGTGAAAGCGAATGAGAAGTATTTAGTAAGGAAAAGTGAGGAAGGGACAATAATGGATCAGGATTCAGAAAGACAGAATATTGATATTCTATTTAAATTTTTGAAGATTATAGGTGGCCGGGGAGCAAGAAATGGTTAGACAGTTCCACAGGTTAGAAAATAAACTGTTAGAATAAAAGAGATGTTTATATCTTAACTACTTCGATGGTAAAATGATGAGACCTAGTTACCAAACTAGTAATCCGCTTAAATTCATGAATTCGAAGTAGTAAAGAAAAATTCTCATTTAGAACAATTGCAATGAACATATTTGTAGAAAAGACAGAGGGAAGCCTCATCACGTCGGTGAGAAAATGTTGTGGTGTCCTCCTTCTAAAGATTCTATGTTGGACTCTTCCGCCGTTTATAAGATTAGTACGAGAGAAGGCCTTGGGGAAATAGTCGAATAGATTGTTCAACTGTCGAACTCTCTGCCCCAGAACCCGTCTAGGCGGGTTCGAAGGGAATATTTTTGGCCGAGCCTATGGTCTCGGAGAAACCCACGTTAAACTCGGCCTTGTGCCACATATATTCCTTTTGTGGGTGGGGGCTGTTAAATATAACAGTCGAATAGATTGTTCAACTGTCGAACTCTCTGCCTCGGAAGGGAGGAACTCGGACGAAGGTTTGCCGCTGGGCAAAGATTCGTCCGGTGAGGTAGACAGTCCCTGAACACATCTAGGCGGGTTTAAAGGGGATATTTTTGGCCAAGCCTACGGGCTCGGAGAAACCCACATTAAAGTCGGCCTTGTGCCAAATACATTCCTTGTGGGGGGGACTGTTAAATATAACAGTCGAATAGATTAAACGCTAGTCAACCGACCCACACTCACTAGTCGTGCAATACTCTGCTGTTGTATTTGCTGCTTAATATATGAAATATCTGTAACAGTTAAGATGTTGTGACCAAGTAAATGGTTTAAGAAATAGCAAAACAAGTGTTACAGATATCTCATATATTAAACAGTAAATACAACAGCAGAGAATTACACGACTAGTGAGTGTGGGTCGGTTGACCAGCGTTCAATCAATTCGACTGTTCCCCCAAGGCCTACTCTCCTACTAATTTTATAGTAGGCGGAAGAGTCCAACATAGATGCTTTAGAGGGAGGACACCACAATAAAAAGTGACTGAAGTCAAGAAACCAGATAAGAATCGATTACTTTACAGACCTTTCTCTTGTCAAGAATCTCAAGATATACAGCAGAAAAACCAAACCGGATATGGCAGCAGTATCCAATGCACGGTCAAATGATAGATTTAAAAATGGGCGATATTTATTCTGGCAAGAGATATTTTCCATCACGACCCAGTAAGCCAACATTTCAAGCAGTAGGCATAGCAAGTGATTCAATATAGTCTCTTCACTTTGTCAGTGGAAAACGTGAAACTAATGAAGTGTCGCTGACCTGGGATTTAGCTACAGCCATATTAATGGCAGGCAGATTTTTTTTTCTCTGTGGTGATTAAATAAAAGCAGTTTTGGTTTGTACAAGCTATTGTTTGTTTCAGTTAATCACTGATTGAAGTTCTTTTTGAGAGCAGTTGCCATGTTTATTTATTTTATTTATTTATTTTGGGGGGGGGATCTGTCGGACTGGCTACTAAGATGGGTGTAAATAGCCGTGTCTTCTGTTAAATATCTAGTTAGGAATTGGCTTTATCCAGATTCCAGGTATTTGAAATAATTTCAGCAAAACAGAGAGAATCTCTCCTTATTGCTTTATATTTAAGATGCTGAAATTATTTTCGTAACAAATCTTTTTACTGGTCAATAATTACCTTACGTAAACGCGAATGTTTTCTGTCTGAAAAAAAGATATAAGCAATGTTTCTTTCCGTAAATTGCTGCGGAGCTAATTTTCTTAGTTTTAGAATTTTTCCAAACCTTTTTAAGAGAGCACTTACCATTATTGATTCAAACTTTATTTACTATAAAGTCAGCCGGTTTTCGGGCTTTATACGCCTCCAAATGTTATGCTAACCTTTCCAAATTATGAGGCTTTTCAGATTGTATGTCTTCAATCGCAGTGTTTCATTTTAAGCTTTGCAAATATTCACATTAGCTGCTTTCCTTTAAGGTACTTTGCTAAAGTTCTACAGTTTTCACTGATTATATATGAAGCACAAATTGTTCAGTATCTGCCTTTCTTATTCAGCTATGATGTTTACAAATATAAATCAATTTTTGACTTCTTTGTAAACAATAACAAACGGTTGCACACGCTCAAACTTGGATGAGTAAAATAAACTTCAAAAGAAAGTTGTCATATTTTCTGAATACTGCACAAAATGGGCACTTTTTAAATTTGCATGAATTTAGTAATTTCCCACAGAGGATTTGATTATTTAATTTACGTGCATTCTATCATAATATTATTATTTTAAATTTCGTTCAATCTGTCTGACAGTATGTCATGTATAAATTGTATGTAAATGTGATTTTGTGAATTCAAAAATAACCCAAGAAGAGATAGAGGTCAATCAATATTATTAATTAAATATATGAATGTGACAATACATATTAGGATTCGTAGTTACCGTAATTACCCATGTATAATACGCCATCATCCATAATACGCACCCGTAAAATTGTGCTGAATGTGTGGGAAAATGGTACTGCTCAGGCATAATAGGCACCCCTTGTTTGGTAATCAAATCCTATAAATTGTACCTCTTCAATTTCATTACGGCCAGCGTTTCCTACTATTATTAAAAAAATAGAAATGGTTTTAAACAGAATAATAGTATTCTAATTTAGTTTTATGATAATTATTTATTTTACATTTGTAAATATTTTTAGCTACATATAATTGTATTTGACGTCCTTATGGGGTCGCAATCACAGAAAGTTAGTGTCAAATTGTCGTATGTTTGTGGTGAGTAGTCACTTCGCAACTGAAAACAACCTATGGAACGGTAATTTTATAAAGATTTTTTGTAGCTGTGCATAATAAGCATCCCTAATTTTGCTTATATCTTTTTAGAAAAAAATGGGTATTATAGATGGGGACTTACGATATACTATTTCGAAGATTAAAATATAACTTATAATGAATAAATAAGAATTAAGATGCTTGGTGCATTGTTCATAAGAATCTATTTTAAAATAAGCTAAGTTAACATTGACTTGCAGGATTTATGTTGCCTGTTATCAGTTTTATTTTTTTTAATAAAAATATATTTTATAAAGATGTTTTTGTAGTTGTGCATAATACACATTCCTAATTTTACTTATTATTTTTAGTAAAAAAATGCGTATTATAGATGTATACTTAATCATCGAAAAGGCTTGTGTATAAATAGACTGAAAAATCTTCCATTTCCTGCACTGTTGTTTGAGTGTTCTTTTTAAAACGCAAAATAACAGAAAAATACGCAGAAGGCAGTAAATTTCTTCTTCAGTGACATGCGTGTGCGACAACACGTAGATATAACAGCCAGCGGTTACGAAGTCCTTATCGTTCTTCCGCGGTAAAGAATTCTAAAACCTTTACGCATTGTACCTTTTTTTTTTTTGACGTCTCTATCTCGCCTCTGTCCCATTCACAGCGGCACACGCTAACACACGTATATGATCTTCGATCGAGCTATACAAATATGGACACGTACACAATGACAAAGTCTGTCGTTGTTCAAACTTTATCAATATCGTCAGGTGTTTATTTTTCTCCTCCATTGAAAAGTACGAAAACAGTGGAGCCAAAACTGAAGACGGAAACAGAGGCCGAGGGCATTTTGTATTTTCTGAACGATTTCTGTGAACATTTCAAAACGATAGAAGCATCTTTCACCTATCACAATACAAACAAACTTCAGAAAATTATTTCTTCATTCTTTCTTTAATGGACTCATGGTCTGTTTCCGATTGCTTTCGTTTGTCTACTCCTTTTAACTTTCGGATTATTTTTCGTTCTTTTTTTTTTTTTTTTCAATCTCATTTCCCAAATATATTTATTTTTCTTATGTGTTTTTCTATATTTTTAAATTCCTTTGTGTTTTCTTTTCCTATTTCGGTGGTTTTAATTTTATTTTCCATTTTAACTCGAGACTTTTGGAGTTTCTTCTTCTGAAAACTCGTGTTTGTTTGTTTAGTATTTCCAGTTCTATTAGCTATCTTTACTTTTTATTTAGTTTTTCAGTTTTTATTACGCATGCGTTGATGTATTTATTTACCTTTTCCTGTTTACGTGCATGTAGATGTAGGTTGTATTATTAATATTCGAATTAATTAATTTGGTTATAAATTAAACATTATATGAGCATTATGTATGTTTTAATATAGATATTTATACTCTTGGAAGCGGGTCATTTTATAAGTTTATAATTCTACTGACCAGTGTCTACTGAAAGAATAATCGTTCGATTCAATGCTTAGGTGTCTATACGTCCACCTAAATTCGAATTAATTAATGTGGCCATAAATTAAAATGTTTCTTTCTCAGAGACGGGATTATTATTGATAGTATTTACATTATTCGAACTGCTTTTCTCTTCTTCATTGCCATATTCACAACGTTTCGGCCGTTGAAAACTCCGGCCTTCTTCAGGTGATTGGAATGTCGAACTGAACACTTTATTTCATCCACCAAAGGTAGCTTGTTCTAGTTCCACATGCCATACCTATTCCGGATGTCTCTGTTATTTCCCTTTATTTCCAAGTTTTTTTTTTCTTTTCTTTTTTTTTTTTTTTTTGGTTCACCACTCATGCAGCCTGGTATTGAACTCTAGTCCTAGAGTGAAATGATGTTGAATTAATAGACAGAAAGCATCACTGGAAGATATGAGGAATAAGCACATATTCTAGGCCACAAAAACCACCTGAGCCGACCAAGCATAAATATGAATACAATATGGGAATCAGTAATAAGGAGTGCTAGAGAAAAGCAATGAATAACAGCAAAACATTGCAATATAAGTTCTGATAAAAAAAAAGTGCCATAATAAAAGAAAAATTGCAATATGAGCACTGGTAAAAAAAAAGTGCAATGATAATAAAAGAAAAATTGCAATATGAGCACTGGTAAAAAAAAATGCAATAATAATAAAAGAAAAATTGCAATATGAGCACTGGTAAAAAAAAGTTCAATAATACTAAAAGAAAAATTGCAATATGAGCACTGGTAAAAAAACGGTTGCTGAGACATTAGGTTTATAAGTTCCAAATATTCATACGCAGTTTGTCCTCAAGGACAACATGGCCCTGGATTAAAGATATTGGTTAGATCCAGTGACTAGACACAAAGAACCTGAGTTCAGTACCAGGCTACAGCTTAGACTGTTGAGTTAAAGGGAAATAACTCAGCCATCCGGAAGAGGCATGATACATGGAACTAAAACAATCTACCCCGGCGGTCGAACTAAAGGTTTCGAAATTCCAGTCACTTGAAGAAAGCCGGAGCGTACAACGGCCGAAACGTTGTGAATAAGGCAATGAGATGAGGATAATAACCCGATTAATGTAAATTATGTAGTTAATCATAATACCTCATCTCACAGATATAGACAGGGTGTTATTTTTATATGAGAAAGTCGCTTAATTTTAATATCGTTTTGGATTAAATACAAATCAGAGTAATATTAATCGAGAACAAATCGAGAAATATTTAGAGAATAATTTTACTTTTTATATTATTTTTAATATCAGATACTTTCCTTTTTGTCTTTAATTCACACTCCAGCCTCTTCTTTCTTTCTGGATTAAGCTATTTCGATATTTTTGTTTGTTTTCTTTCTTTTCTGTCTTTTTTCCATTCTGCATTACGGTTTTATTCGTCTTGTTCTGATTTCTTTCTCCTCTCATTCTTTTATCTTTTCATATCTTACATATTTATCGTTCTTTTTTTTCTCCCTTCGAACTATCTTCCTTTCTTATTTTCTTTTTCTTCTTGTAATGCAGGCGTCTAATCACACACCTTTAAAATTTCGTTACGTTGTCTAAGCCCGCTGCTAATCCTTTGTCTTGCAATTTACCAACTTTCACTTTTCTATTTCAACGCATAATTCCTTAGCATCCCTTTGGGCATTTTACGAATAACCGAAGCTAGTGCATGAAAATAGAGGAAAACCAATCGAAACAAAAGAGCAAAAATGATAAACATATATGAGAAAGGAAAAAGAAAATGGTATGTATAATACATGGAGAGAACAGTGATGGAGGAAAGAGGAAGGAAAAGCACTGAAAAAAAAAATGACTTTTTCTGTCCTATGTCCAAAGGCAGTAAATGAAAGCAACCTTCTTCCACTTGCCTCAGGGAATCATTACAGGTAAATAAGTTCTAAAACACAGACACGCTCGTATTGATATAGATAATTATATAAGTAACCAGTATGATAAAGTGTAAGAAAGGTACACTCATGCATACATTGGGCTTTTGAACTACCATATATTTCTCTCTCTCTCTCTCTCTCTCTCTCTCTCTATATATATATATATATATATATATATATATATATATATGTGTGTGTGTGTGTGTGTGTGTAATAGAGAGAGAAGAATATTATATATATATATATATATATATATATATATATGTATGTATTTATAAATATATATTTATACATACATACACACATATATATATATATACATACAAATATATATATGTAAGCAAATATATGGATATAGATCCGACAGTATGAAGAAAAATATACTGAAAAAGCAAACAAAAATCCTAATATGCGATTATGCTGTTTTAATGTTTAATGTCAACGTCGGACGTTTCGGTCTAATAGACCATCTTCAGGACATATTCATATTCATAAAACATAATTAACATAGACCATATACAATTCAACATGAAAAAAAAATATATATATATAAATATATATACATACATATATATATATACACATACACACGCACAGCCACACACACACACACACACACATACACGCATGTATATAAATTTCAGTTATCTGTTTGGATTAGTTAAACGCAACCGTCAGACCATACATATATACGTATATGTGTGTCTATGTAAGTATGTATGTATGTTTATCACATCAAACGCTATTATAGTGGAGACTTCGTACTTGATGTAGATGTTCCATTTTTACTTATTAAACGGTGTCCAATATAACTATCCACGCATTCGAAAAAATAGTTTTGAGGAAAATGTTGCTCGGCATAGACCGAAGTTCTCTCTTTCCTCTCACCACTTTCCCTCCCTCTCTCTCTCTATCTCTCTCCACACACACACACACACACACACACACACACACATATATATATATATATATGAGGTGGGGTGTTGTGGATTCCGTGGACGGTCAATCGTTTTCTTCCTTTGGAAGGTGGCCAGGAATGGCCGGAACCTCAAGCATGCTTCACATCGTCTCCAGACCACAGCCCAACAGGCATCGAGTTGAATCTGGTCAAGAAATGCACTGTAACAGTGAGAATCACTTTTATTTCCCAAGTACTAATGAACGCTAAAGTTTAACTGTCAGCCATAGCATTTAAACACAAAAGAAAGAAAAAATCAGTAATGGATACCTACACTTAGTTCTTACTTTACCAGTTGCAAGCCTGATCATGATCTCAGATAAGAAATAATATTGTAAACAATACAAATAAACTAGAAATAACGCATGGATTATAGTTTTAAATAGACAGACAAATAATATAATAATGATGGATGTACTGTGTTTTGTAATGAATTCCTTTATCATATACATTGGCATATGCAGCCTGTGCAAAAGAATTATTTGTAGATTCGGACTTGGCGGGAAAACATTCGTTCCCTTCTTTCATCGATATTCCTGATCTCTAAATGTTCGTGGACTTCCTTTTGATGTGTTGAATGTCACAGTTAGAAGCCCGAAAGAAAATTTGAAAGAATTCCTGAAATGCCGAATTGTGTTCGCCAGAAGTTCGATGCAATTCCGAAACAGCTTACATTCGCGTGTACTCACTTTCAGTTGTTATTTTTACTGACTGGCAGTGGTCAGGTAAATTCCTCAACAGTCAAAACGACGGCATAGTATAGGAGGGTCAGTCGGGCACCATTTCTGAGAAAAAGGGCACCATATCGCAGTTCACTCCGCCGGAAACTTGGGAACAACATGCTTTACTGCCTGGGATTCGCGCCCGAAGCTTCAAGACAAGCATTTAAGAGCGTTTGGGTGAGAACATTGCAGAGGATTCGGAAAGAGTTGAATGATATATCCAGTCAACATCATGACGAAGTTATACCTGCATTAATCTTCCCACAGGGTCGTAAACCCAACATGGAAGCCTACATCAAGTGTCTTGGGGAAGTAGTGTTGCTCTGCGTCAAGAAAATGGCTGGTGGAATATCCTATGTCTGGCAACAGGACTCCGCACAATACCACACCGGGAGGAGAACCCAGACTGCAACTTCCTTGATTATTATGTGCGGGATGCACTTGAGCGAAAGACGAACAAAATTCTTTTTAACACGAAAGATGACCTGAAGGCAAGTATTAGGGCAGCATTCAGCAACATAAACAAGGTGACCGTCCAGAAAATTTGCAGGAGATTCCGAAGTCGTCTGGAGGCCATGGTTGAAGCCAATGGCGATTTTATTGAATATATTTACGTTTTTGTATTTCAAGATACTTTTATGTAATTTTTGTTAAATATATCTATTAAAATGAGATGTCATTTTTATTTTCATTTTGCTTAATTTAGACAACAATTTATCCATCGCACCCTGTATGTTGATGGATGTCTTATCTAATAAATAAGCAATTGCTTCTCAAGTATCTTTAAGTTAGACGCATATTTTGCAGGTCACTTTACATATTTATTAAATATTGACCCATACCGGATAGTAGTTTAATTTAGAAATTTAATTAACAATATTGTAAATAATATAATATTTAAATATATTTTGTGTATGCGCGCTAACATATTTGCAAATAGAATCATTTATATACACCATTATGGATGAAATGGTATTCTGATAGAATGTTTTACCACAGTAATCATTGTATGTATGTTTCCGTAACTGAATTATAAGTACGAGCATATATGACTGAAGCAATAATTATGCTTGTTTCTTTGTGTATACGACTATATTTTATCTCTTACTTAAACGTTGAAATATTGACAACTTATCTATTATTTTTATATATGTTCAAGAAAATAAACACCAGCATCAATATTCATGAGTTTCAAAATCTCCTATTTGATCGTTTTTATTTTGAAATATCTTTTTACTATCGACAAATCGTCAGTCTTGAGTCGAAAAATAATATTTTCATAATCGAAATATAAAATCATTTTTTATATAAACCTCTTTCGATTTTGATATTCATATATTACTTTATTTATTCGCAATATCTAGAGGGTTGAGTTGTTGCTAGAGTAAATTTGATTTATTTTTTCTTCCCTTTCAAGAGAGGAATACTCAAATGTAATCAGATACTTGTATCAGATCGATTCTGCGTGCAATCACATTGAGCTATTCTAAATATAATCAGATACATTTACCTGATCGATTCTGAATTAATACTTATGTAGACATTCGAAATTCTCTAAGTACCTAATCTAGTTACAGTGAGTTTTAAAATATTTAGATTTTATCTTTGGCAACTTGTTCCCAAACATATAATTGCATAAACATTTGCAAATAAACCCTTAATCTTACGTTAGTTATATGAGGTATTTTGTTACGCCCGAATTTTAAAAGTACTCTTAATTCCTAGTTTAAAACTTGTTTCATTTTTCTCTTCCATTATTCCCCTAACTCAGTGAGGATGTGTAGCACGCAGCGGGGAGCAGTTGTTGCTCAGTAATCGTGGGGAAGAGACGTCGCTGTCTTCTTTGGGATTTCCTGTCACCCGACCTGAAAAACGAAGGTAAGTTTTTTTCATGATTTTTATGTATATATATTTTTTATTTAGTTTTTCAAGCAATTTTCCGTTTGATTTTTTTCCTTTTCTGTCATATTCAAAGTAACATGTATAAAATAAATGTCTCTGCCCATATATATATATATATATATATATATATATATATATATATATATATATATGTGTGTGTGTGTGTGTGTGTGTGTGTGTGTGTGTGTGTGTGTGTGTGCACTCGAAATAATTTCATTGAGCTCTCGGAGAAAAAGTGGTGATTTTATAAACAGTGGTTGCTGCTGCTAATGCAATACTCTTCCACTCGAATCGAGCTCACCTAGATACTGACATCTTTCGCATAGAAAATGCTTAAAAGTTCCCTCCCGCTCTGCCGTGCGACGATACCTTGGGTGTAGAATCTCTGATTGATGCCAAATCTGTCGAATTTCGATTCCGGCTTGAAGCAATCGGATATCTATCCACACTGATGAGCTGTGATACAGCGAAACAGACTGTTTGTGAATGAATATTATATATATATATATATATATATATATATATAAATCACCTACAAAAGAGTTATGCAACAACACTATCATCATCATCTGATGCGCTGACTAAACCAATAATTATATAGTTCTTAACCACCAAGATTACAACAAAAAATTACAATCTATCCGACAGAAAAAGCCGGCAGAATAGTTAAAAATGCACTTAAACAGATCAGAGCAAACAACGTTGAGATCGGCAGCTTTAAAATTAAGAAGATTATCGGGGATTACCAGCCAGGATATCTGTCCGGTAATGTAAAAGCCCATAAAACAGGTTTTCCTCTTTAACCTATCATATCCCATATACCAATGCCAGTATTAACAGCTATCAAAAACCATCAATGACATAATTTCTCCATACAAACCAACACCGCATCAACAAATTAATAAAAAGAAATCCCACAAGCAGTATACTGGCTTTGCTCGATGTTGAAAATCAACGTCACAGTTGAAAAAACAATCAACATAATTAGGGAATACATGTACAAACACACATCAATCGCTCCTTCCAAAATTCAATCAGCATCTCTTCGGAACTAC